ATGTTTTTAATCATTTTTCTTTTGATCTAGTTAATGCTAATTTTTCCTTGAAGGACCAAACATTTTTAGTTTAGTTATTACTTATGTATTTATGTACCAAAAAATCTTATAAAGTGAATCAAATTAATTAAAAAATAAATCGAACCAAACCGAGTTAATTTAAAACTCTAGCCAAATGTACACCCTAATTCAACCTCCTTGACTAGAGGTAAATTTACATTAAAGACAATGACACTCGCAACCATCAAATCCTGGATCCGCCTCTGAGATGTAGGAGCGCAAAGGGATTGCATACAGGAATAGGGAAATTTAGAGATCTATAAAATGTTAGGATTAGAGTAAAACACTTGTATTAGCATTTGGGAAAAGGTCCAAGTATGTCGTTGTATTCAATTTATTTTATGTTTATTCTATTTACTTTTGATCTTTACTCTCGCACTACTAAAAATGTAACGACCCGGCCGGTCGTTTTGAGTATTATAACCATGTTCCTCCATTTACTGCTCAATTTATGCATTACAATTTATTTATGACTTATCGGGTTAGTTGGTTCGGGTCCGGAAGGATTTCGGAGTGAAATGAGATACTTAGTCTCATAATTGAAAACTTAAGTTAAAATAGTGATCGGATGTCGACTTATGTGTAAACGACTCCGGAGTAGAGTTTTGATGATTCCAATAGCTCCGTATTATGATTTTGGACTTAGGAGCGTATCCGAAAAATTATCTGGAGGTCCGTAGTGGAATTAGGCTCTGAAATGTCGAAAGTTAAATTTTTGGGAAGTTTAACCGGGGGTAACTTTTTGATATCGAGGTCGGAATTCGATTATAAAAATTGAAATAGTTTCATTATGTCATTTATGACTTGTGTGCAAAATTTGAGGTCAATCGGACTTGATTCGATAAGTTTCGGCATCGAATGTAGAAGTTGGAAATTTCATAAGACTAAAGTTTCGAGTGAGTTCGCACAAGATCTAACTTTAAATGAGTATAACTATTACCTATCAAATGAAATATCTTTGAGTCTAGTTTCTAACTCTTCAAACCGTTCGTCATTTGGACATTCCTGCAAAAAGTTATGACCAAATTATCAAAAGCTAGAGAATGCAATTTTGCGACCAATTATGCGATCGCAAAACTGCTTCTGCGACCTCAAACTGGTCGCAGAATGGACCAGAAGAGCCCAGTTCTGGGCACCGATTTTGCGATTAATTTTGCGGCCCGCATACCCATTCTGCGGTCCATTATGCGACCGCAGACCTGCTTTCGGAGGGTTAATTTTTCTATTTTTATAACCCGGCCCTATTTTGATAAATAGGCTTTGGGACTCATTTTAGAGCAAAAATCTGACATTTTTAGAGAGAAGAGAGAGTGTTATAGAGAGAGGAAGAAGCTCAAGTGCTTTTTTTATCAAGATCTTATTCAAGTTTTGAAATCCAATAAGGAAATATCACAAGATCTTCACCCAAGAGGTAAGGTTCTAACCCCTAGTCTTCAATTTCGAGTTTGGGTAAAGATGGGTGATTAAGAGTATGATTCTTGGGTATAATAGTATTATTTATATATATCAATAAGGTTTATGGAAAGTCTTGAGTTCAAATGGGTAAAGATTGGGTTGAAAATGGTAGAAATCTTCAATGACTTTAATTGAAGAAGACGGGGTCGAGTTGATGTCGGAATTTTATGAAATTTATATAGTTGGACTTGTGGTTGGATGGGCATTCAGATTTTGTAACTTTTGTCGGGTTCCGGGATATGGGTCCCACGGGCGATTTTTGAGTGTAATTTCGGATTTTTGTAGAAAAATTAATATTTTGATATGGAATAAATTCCTATAATTTGGGTTGACTGAATCAAATTAATTGTGACTAGATTCGAGCCATTCGGAAGTTATTACGCGCATAATAGAATTTATGGAAGCATTGTTTAGCTTGCTCGACATTGGATTCGGCTTGTTCGAGGTAAGTAACTCTTCTAATCTTGGAGCTGAGGGTTTGAACCCTAAATATACGTATTATGTGAATTGTTTGGAGGTGACGCACATGCTAGGTGACGAGCGTGTGGGCGTGCACCGTAGGAATTGTGACTTGGTCAAATTCCATGGAACTGTATAGTTGTATAATATGTTGATATTTGTACATTCTCTACGTGTTAGAGATAATTGAGCTAAGACTCGTATTAAAAAATCATGATTAGGCATATGTTGTTATTGTTGGTACCCATTGAGGTCATTTTTGTGGTTGAATAATATGTTCAAATTGTAATTTTTCACTCAGTCATGTTTATTCATTTCATATCATACCTCAGTCTCTCTTATTCATTATTGATGCATCATATCATTGTTGTTGGGCTGCTTATCATGATTTCTGAGAGCCCGAGAGACTGGAGAGGTTGATGACTGAGTGAGGCCGAGGGCCTAATTGTGAAGATATTTATGGATCGGGCTGCACGCCGCAGTATATTTTATTGATTTATGCCATGATTGGCTTTATATAGCGCTTGGGATGAAGAAGCCCCTCCGTAGTCTGTACACACCCCCAGTGAGCGTAGGTACCTACTGAGTGCGAGTGCCGAATGATTTGGGAGGATTGAGTGACTATGAGGCATGAGTGACTGTGAGAACTGAGTGACTGGAAGGACTGAGTGATTGGGAGAACTGAGTGAAATGATACTCTGAGAGTATGCATATGATTTTATCACTGAGTTGTATCGCATTGACATGCACACATGACATACAGGCATAGAGATGGATTTTTTCTCATGTTGTACAGTATCACATCATTCATGATTTCTCACACATGTTGACAGATGGGCATATTGATGCAATTATTTTATACGGGTTATTTGGAAAGAAAATTAAATCTATTTATTATTGAAAGGATTTTGGGAGAATCACAGTTTTCAGACTTACTCATATCTTGGTGATTTTAGTGAAAAGAATTGAGTTTTACTATATATTTGAAAAGAAAAATGTTTATTTTTTCGGAACTGTGAACGAACTGAGCACTTTATTATTGAGTTATTCATTGTGCTGCCTCAATTCTGTTGTTATGAGATTTGTTTTCTGGATATTGTTGTGGACTATTGATTTTGGACCCGACCTTGGTAAAAGCTCGTCACTGCTTTCAACCTAAGGTTAGGTTTGTTACTTACTCAGTAAATGAGGTCGGTTGTACTGATACTATACTTATGCACATTGCATGCAGATGTTGGATGTTGTTGTTGTGCTCGATGGTTGCCGGATTTGAAGATATACCTGCATTCCTGTTGTAGCTGCCTCTTATTCATGGTAGCCTTAGATTTATAAAAAAAAACTCTGTTTATGTACTATTCAAATAGACTATGTATTTATTTCATCTCCACTTTGTAAACTCTATTCTTAGAAGCTCATGATTTGTACTACCAGTTCTTGGGAAAAAGTATTGGTTTTAGATATTTTCTTTTAATTAATTGCCTCGTTAATTTCATTGAAATCAGATAGTTGGAAATTGGCTTACCTAACGGGTTGGGTTAGGTGCAATCACAACTAGTTGGATTTTGGGTCGTGACAAAAAAATACCAAAAAGTGTCCACAAACAACAACAACAACCCAGTAAAATCTCACTAATGGGGTCTGGGGAGGGTAGTGTGTACGCAGACCTTACCTCTACCCCGAAGGAGTAGAGAGGCTGTTTCCGAAAGACCCTCGGCTCAAATAAATAAAAAGACAAAAGAGGCAAAAAGGGAGACAATATTAGTATCACAACAACAATCATAGGATAAATAGGAACACCATGAAATCCAGAAGAAAGATGCAAAGTAAAGGGAGACAATATTAATAAATATTAGTATCACCACAATAGTCATAAGAAAAATAGGAACCTCATGAAATCTAAAAGAAAGATGTAAAGCAAAAGCGATAGCTAGTAAATAGGACCTGCACTGAAAAGAGAAATAGTAAGCCACAACATTCCCACTAGTTATCTTAGGAAAAAAAAAAACCCTACATGACTAGTCCCACCATGTTACGAAGTAAGGCACGACTCAACTAGCTCCTAACCTACAACTCTTATACTCGACCTCCACATCTTCCTATCAAGTGTCATGTCCTCGGAAACAAGGGTATGAGTACCTCCCCCGGCCTAAGAAGTGGCAGGTGCGGCCTGAGACGAAACCACCTGAGCAAGGTCAATGTAAACTGTCAATGTGAGCAGCTGGTTATGGAGGGCACGAGAAGAGGTAGAGGGCGGCCTAAGAAGTATTGGGGAGAGGTGATCAGGCAGGATATGGTGAGGCTCCAGATTTCCGACCGTTTCTAATTGGCCGATAAAATAATGGTCGCAAACGGGGAGCAACCGAATCGGTCGCTATTTTTCGACCGAAGTCAGTCGGTAACTGTCAACGCAGTTTGACCAAATGTCTGATACAAATTAATTTTACCGACCGAACTCGGCCGGTATTGTTAAAAATATTTTTTAATTATTTTTAAATTAGCGACCGAATTGGATCGAAAATTTAATTATTCATTTTTTAAAAATTATTCAATTCTGACCGAAATCGGTCGGTATTGTTAAAATATATAATTATACATTTTTATTTAAAATTTTTAATTCCGACTGACATCGATCGGTATTATTTAAATAATTAAAATTTAAAATTATAAATTCCGACCGAAATCGATCGGTAATTTGATTTTCTGGGAATTAATATGAACATTTTCGACCGAAGTCGGTCGGTTTTCTGAGTAATTTTGTGCCAGAAAATAGCTGTTTTATAGGTGTACCACATGCCAACAACCAATCACCTATAATGGCAGCATTACATTGCTGCCATTCAACCAATAACAACAACAATAACAACAATAATAATAACAACAACAACAATAACAATAACAACAACAATAACAATTATCAAAAATATATTAACAAAATATTATCACTATCTCCATCTCCATCTCCACTAAACTATATTAACAAAACATCATACCCAACAACAAAATGTTTCACAAGTTAAAAATTCAAACATCATTCAATGAGTGTTTTATACTACATCATCTTCATCTCCACTACTATAGCATTCATCGTCGGCATGGTTCGAAGTATTACCATCTGGGGAAGGCTGACGAGACCAGGGAATCGGGAAAGCATCACTAGCAAAAAGATTGGCTAGCTGACCTTGAAGGATATTAAATTGTTGGTCCCTCTTTTCTAGCTGAACTTGAAGGGTATCTAATTGTTTATCTCTCTTTTGTTCTCTAGTCTTTGTCTCTTCAAACTCCGTTGTCAGCTTTGCGATCTTCTTCTTCATAGACGAGAGAGTCGACCTATCAATTGCCTCGCCCTGGGCGGAAGTCCCTATACCTTGCAATCCAGCCTTGTAGTGCCGAAATGATCTCTCTGGAAGGCCGTATGTTATCCCCTTTTTAGGACCACCTACAACATCCAACCATATCTTCTGTGCTTCTTCGTCTGAAATGGGTAGTCGCTCGCCTTGTTCATTGAGTGGCAAGCTCTGAGTGTACTCCTCCACATTAGTCTTGTAACGACCCTTTATTTAAAAGATAAAAAATTATTGACTATATAATATTATAAACATTAATTTCAAGTTATAGTAGTTATGAAACTTACATATGCAATCTTCACTCGGTCCTCGACCCATCTAGATGGATCTGTCGGTGCCTTCTTCTTCCGGATATGAGTCTCCATGAAGAACTCATCATGAGTCATCTTCCTCCTATATTTTGTTTTTCCTACAAATATAATAAAACGTGTTAACTAAATTAAAATATTTAAATATAGTTCGACAAAAATAGATGTAAATATTTTAAGGAATTACCAGTAGTCTCCTCGTAGTCCCCATGCTCCTTGCACCCACACAGTGCAAGGAGCCACTCTTCTCAGATGCTCGGGCCTTCTTTCCCTATTCAGTCCTCTTCTTGAATTTATCGGTGGTCCACTGCCTCAGCAGATTCTCCCATGGTAGAACCCATGAAGGCTTTTTGCTCTTCTTTCGAGCAGAGTAGAAGGAATCAGATAGTCTCTTACGGCATTTGAATACAAAACTTGCACAAATTTCATTGTTATGCTGGTCCTCCCAGGCACACTTAGTCTACAAATGAAGTGTGTAACGTTAGATGAAAATATTATTAATATAATGCCTAAATAGATAAGAATTGTATTAAAACCTTAAATTGGTTGAAAATTTGTTGCACGAGCTCCGGTGGAAAATCACTCCAAGTCGCATAGGGTGCATCATACAACCGACCAAGAGCTTCAGTGATTATCTTTGTAGTCCGATTAGGTATGAACTTGCAACATAGCAATTACATTACATTAAATAAACAAGAGTAGCTATTATAATTCAGCAAAAATAAAAAAGTAATAAATAAATCTTACCCATTGCCCTCAGGCCTGATGATCATCCTATGATAACGATCATACCGTACTTCCTCCGGATCATCATCCTCCGATGAATCTAAAGCGTGCATAGAAGGGGGGCATCTGGCTCAACTCTACTATCCCGAAGACGAAGTCTAGAAATGCTAGGAGACGAACTCTATGGAGAGGGAGACGGGGTCGCTGATGAAGATGGCTACGATCCACAACCTTGCTGCGATCTAGACCCCTGATGCGATCTAGACCACTGCTGCGATCCGGCTGGCTGAAATCTAGATGGATGCGATCCAGCTGGTGATGAAGCAAATGGAGCAGATGACGGGTAGAACATAAGTCTTTGAACAACAAACTTATCTCTGTGATGGGTTTCCAGATATTTTCAGGCAAACCACAAAATGCAATAGGAATTAAGGTTTCTATGAAGATATGACAGTCATGACTTTTCATATGAGTCAGTTTTCCTTCAATCATATCAGCATGTTTTCCCAGGTTCGAAGCATAACCCTCGAGCATCTTTAGGTTTACAACCCACTCATAAATTTGTCGTCTTTGTTCCAAAGTGAATGTGTAGCTGGCCCTCGGGCTTGAACACCTTACCATTGTTCGCAGACTGTAAATGTAATTTAGGCCGCCTGCAATATTCTTGTAAGTCCAGTCTAGCATTCGGGTTATCTTTTGTCTTATTCTTATCATCCATCACTGTGTTGAACAAATTATCAAAATAGTTCTTCTCAATATACATGACATCAAGATTGTGTCGGAGAAGATTATCCTTCCAATACGGCAACTCCCAAAATATGCTCTATTTTGTGCAGTTATGAGTAACACCATATCCAAAAAATCTAGAAGATGGGGCCTCGGTAACTATAGTGAAGTTTTTAACCCTCTCCCAAATTTTCTCACCGGACAAAATTGGAGGTGGCAAACGTTGTGGTAGAGATTTGGAGATGCGAGCAGTTCCGTTTTTGTGACTTCTCCTCTTTCTTACCTTAATTTTTTGTTGTTGTTGTTGCTCTATATTTGTCACTAGTCGTGTAGTTAATTTGGAGAACTTTTGTAACCCTCTTATTGTTATAGTGGAGCTTTTTGGATCTTTGTGATCCCGTAATTTTTATCTTCTATTTGAAGGATTTTTCACGTTAAAATTTGGTGTTCTTTATCTTATTTATTTTTGGTTTGCCTCTTCCTCGACATAACAGTGGTATCAGAGCCTTGATTATTTATCTGGAATTTTTACAGAATGGAGAAGGAAATCTAAACATTTTGAAGAAACAAGAAATTTTACGAAACTGTCCGAAGGTTTGATACTATAGAATCAATGTCACATGAAGGGAAATAAGAAATATCAAGTATATGAATGAAAGCTTCACGACATTTCGTTTTTTAGCATTTCTATTGTGAGGAAACATGTGATCTGGAGTCATGGCAAGAAAATGGAAACAAGATAGTCATTACATACCTCGATTCCAATCCTTAACGTATTACAACTCAAAATACTTCTTAGTAGCTTCAATCTATAACAATAATGATAATAGAAATTCATGTTAACAATCAAACATTGGTTCCAACCATTTAGGCAATTCGTCAAACACTTAACGAGCATAAAGCTTTAAGGTTCTTTTACAATGGTGTTTCACCACATCCTTTGTGTCTCATAGCTCACAATAGCATACTAAACATCTTGTGAGGCCAACCAATACTTCCCTTATAGCATCAACATACAAAATATCCCCTAACCATCTCAAACAAATAGCAAAACTTGGACTCACGGCTTTCTATCACCGTCCGGTGAGTCCACCGCCGTACAACATACTAGAAATACTCATATGAATCAGTATCATAGCTTAGAAAAAGATATTTTACCTTGCTGGTAGAACTCTAGAAGTTCTTCAGTTGAATTTACTAAGAGGAGGACCTTGCTTCTAAAACCCAAAGATGGATTGAGGTGAGATTCATGTCTTTGATAATTATTTAAGGTAAAGTAGCAGTTGAAACACTTATCTTGATCTTGGAGGGTGAGAGAAGAGGAAAAAATGGAGAGATTATGCCCCAAAACGTTTAGCAAGTGACTAAGAATGAATTCCCAAAGTTTTACCCTATAAAACATAAAGTTTGGCGACTTTACCTAGGAGGTGTCATGTGTCCCGTATTCATTGGGCACTATGCAGGTTCGTAGTATAACATGCATAATTTTTCGTACCGAGATCAGATTAACGAACAACTTAGTGCATTGGAAACGAGACTTGAAGACCTTTAATTTGATAAGTAATCCACCACCTAAATCATCATACACGGGTAGGTAGCTTGTTTGAAATTGAAGCTTGTACGAGCTCCTTTGAAATACGGGACTGTTGTGTGAATTCTTATTTGACTTTGTGCTAGGGCTCTCCTTATACCTTAGTTAACTTTCAAATACCCCATACACTAATTGTTAGGACCATATTATATGGTATAAGTCTGTAGCCTCCTTGGAAACGCAAAAAATATATCTAGCCATTGTTTTCACATCTTAAAGTCTTAAATTGTTTAGTCATTTTTTACTATATTATCCTTATTGGTTCCCGCACTTCCAATCTTGGTGTCATTATATCCATATCATACGGATCAAACCTTAGGCCCATAGTAACGGGTGTTATAAAAGAGCCTCGCAACATTAACTTCATCCCATATTTGTTGTCTCACGCTTTAAAGGGTGTCCATCTCGGTTATAACATTCACCACATTGGTACCGCATAGACAAACAAAAAGTCAATAAACTATCAAATTGGTCAATATATACCCTCAGCTACACTTTTGTGGCTGAATTACTAGTGCATATGCGTTATTTTGGGAATGTTTCATGTTTGATTTATAATATTAAAATTAGGTTATATTGCGACAGGGAAACTATCATCATTAGTTTGTTTACGTGGATATGAAAAATCAGAGGCGGATTCAGAATTTAAATTCTATGGGTTCGGCTTTTAAAGATTTTAGTATTAAACTCATTATATTTGTAAAGTTATAGGTTCATATCTACTATTTTTACAAGTCTACATGTAAAAATTTTATTCCATGTCAAAAGTTATGGGTTCGGTAATACGCTAGGTCCGCCCCTATGAAAAGCTCATGTGCTCATCTTTTAACATGGGTCGTTGATTAATTCCAAATAAAAATTGACAATCTTTTGCTTCCATCCCCTTATATCATTTGAAACTGCGTATATAAATATGTACTTTTAGTCGAGGATTCTTTTTATCGTCACTCAATCCGTTGTATCAATGAAATATGTCAAATTTGGCCCAAGCCCAAATGACCTGCCCGTCCAAGATTAGACTGGTTATTGACCCGCTAATTTGTTGAACTTAACCCATCTTGACTCAATACATCTCAACTCATTTAAAATTGGGATAATTTTTAACCCAAATTGATTCATGAATAACTTTTCTAAAATATCTTAGAAATAATTTTTTTTATTTGATATGCTATATACGACTATAACAAAAGAGAAAAATCTTATTTACTAATTATACAATTCATAAGAAGACAACACATTAAATGAAGCTTGAAAAGAATTTGGCGGGTTAAGCTATGACCCGAATTTTAACCCATCTTGACCTAACTCATCTTAGCCCAAATAACAATAACAGTGTTCTCTACACTCATCTCATTCTAGCAGAATCAACATTACCAACAGTGTTAGCACCAAACCAAAAATTTAAACATAAGCCCAAAAAAAAAAAAAAACCTTAAACCCTCGCAAAATTAAAATACACTTGGCACTTAACAATTAACAAGTGATGAAAACATTGATCAAAGGTACGTCGTGTTGCATTTATTGATTTTGGTGCAAAGTGGTTAAAAATTTTGTGCCTCTTGGGTTATCCAGTTTGGCTTTGTAATAGAGGGATCATCTAAGGATATAGGTCAATTGACCAATGCTCTCAATAAAAGACATGGTTATCGTTTGACTAGTAAATGAAGGAAAAAAAACATTGAGCTCCCAAAGGGGCTTCAACTGGGTTGCTCCACTACTAGGTTTGCCAAAAGCACCATTGCCATTGTGGAGATTTTGAAAGACTAAGATCTGTTTACCCCCATCCATGGGTAATTCTTTACATCAAAACAGGAGTGGCAAAAAACACAAACCTTCTCACAGACTTTAGTTCGTTCAAAGTCAACTCCAACATGAATCTAGACCTGACAGAAATCAGTTACTAAAACTAGATATATTTGACGAGGACAAGCTTAACTATAATGCATGACCTTTCTCAGACTTTAGTTCGTTCAAAGTCAACTCCAACATGAATCTAGACCTGACGGAAATCAGTTACTAAAACTAGATATATTTGACGAGGGCAAGCTTAACTATAATGCATCACCTTTCCCCTGATTCCCTGAGCATGTAAGCAAAGCTTTAAGCACTTGTTGACTTGTAATGACATTCATCGATGGTAGAGTAAGCCAGCCCTTCCGATTCAAGAGATGCTATTGCTTCCCTATCAAGATTCAAAAAAGATTAAGGTTATAAAGAAGGCACTTGTTACAATCTGCATGCAAATGAAAATGAGGAACAAAATTGTCCTTTATCTTTTTGTTTGATAGATAAAGAGATATACTTGATTTTCTCCAGAGGAACTTTAAGTTGTTGAGCAATTTCATTCCAGTGTATCCCTTTCTCCTGTGAACTGAACATGGATAAATGATAAGATTTTGCATCTAGAGCTAGGAAACATGATCAACTCAAACGAAGATGAAAGAAGTTCTTCAAAAGACCCCTTCTACAATATTACAGAATGGTATTAACAGCAGTTGAGGGCTACATGTTGCAGAATTACTCAGACGCCAACTACATGTTCCACAAAAGGCAAAATTGGTATGAGCCGGTTATGTTTTAACTAACATTGAACAAACTCTAGGAAATGATATTTATCTTGATTTCCAAATGAAGCATGGAAATCTTGCTCTTTTTGCTAGTTTGATGGAAGATTTACCATATTTCAATGTGTTTCTTCCTTAAGGGCATAATTATTGTGATTCCCTCCACTATACATATCACTTACTCCTACAAATAGAGAAGAGTGTTTTTATTTTTGATATCCATATGAAAACATTCCAATCGTCCTTAAATTTTAATTGCTACAAATACACATGACCAATCAAGCACTGAAAATTACCTCCACAAATGGTTCTCATCAAAGAACATTTTCCAGATAGTAGTTTCGGAAAAACGTTATATGTGCAATCAAATTTATAACCGTGGTGTCTGGTCCAACTTTAGCCAGGGGCAGATTTTGGCCAAAGTATGATGCATGTGAACCCATGGTATTTCCTCCAAAATGGGTATTTTATGTACATATTTCCTAGAATTGATCTTATTTGTTGGCCCCTGTGCTCCAAAATGGTTGAATGGCGCATTTGGTTATATATTGAGTTATATCTACCCAAAGGAAGAGGGATCAGTTCCCACTAAATATTCTTTTTTCTTCTTAGTGGTGCACCATGTTATAAAAATCCTAGATCCACCTCTGGCTTGAGCGCACATCGACTAATTCCATGAGATACTTGCTACCTCCCACAAGCACAACCAAATAGGATTCACATTTTTCAGTAAATATTTGGCTTAAAATGGCAAGTAGCGTCAAATCAAATGCCTTCAGCACGTTGAGGCAGTAGTTTCAAAGTCGCTGACCTCTTTTCTACTTTTCCTTTCTTTCAGAACTATAACTTTTCAGAATCAATTGCTCTGAACAAAATATAATTATCCCATAAAGTTTACTAAAATACTCTCAGGTCATCGTCTTCATTGCAAAATATGAACATAGATAAATCATGGTGTGTTCAGTGTCTGCTCAAAGAGGATTTAGATTTGAGCTGTAGTGTGTATATGCGTCTATACATATGCATGTATGTGTGTATGGAGAGGAAACCAAAACCAAAAAAGATAGATTCTCTTGAAAACTAGACTATGTCACTTAGAAAGAATACTATTCATAATCAATAAAATTTGCTCTTCTGAAATAGTTTATCAACCAAAGAGAAGCTATGAGCATCATGAATCAGTGATATGATTAACAGCATATTAAACAACTTACAGTGATGACGGCTGTTCCAAATAATCCATCACTGCCTTCTCTATGCCCTTAAGCCCATCGATGCTCAAATGTCCAGACAACTGAAAGAAATAATGGATGAAGCAGATAATCAAACATAATCATCTGTGCATGATGCATAGTAGAATAGCAATCTGGAACCATAACTGCATAGTCCAATACTAACCTGACTGGAATTGAATCCACTCGAAGGGGCACTAACTGCTGCAGGGACATCAGTTTGACCGGGAGTGGAGACAGAGAGACCGCTCTGTATTAGAGAAAAGCGTAAAAGTTATTCTACAAGTGGGGCTGTAGAAGGAATAGAAAAGGATGATTTATATCAAACTCTCATTTGCTTTTAGAAGCCAGATTATTACCTGTGGCTTCCTATTGCAGTGATGGACATAGATACATTCAAGGAAGTGTGTAGCAACTTCATTGTAATCAGTTATCGGTCTGAACAATCATCAACGACCAAAATAGTGTTTATTGATAAGCTTATAAAAGAATCACTACATACAATGATGTAAAGTCTTTAGCAATCTTTCTGGCAAGGGTGACAAAGAGTTAAGATAAACCTTTTGTTAAAGACTTGAAAGGAAGAGAATTTGGGAAAATTTTCACATATCATATTTTGGAGGACAATAAAAGCTAAAGAAACCAACTTCATTTTACATTAGTTGCACATGCAGCATAAACTAAGTTACTGGGAGATAAAATGTTTGCTTTCGAAAGGTTAAGAGGTGACATTCATATCTTGAAAACTCAGGGATGCCTCGTGAAAACTGGGCAAACAGCCAGGGAGAATGGAGTCTCACCCTTCATCAACAAGTGATTCTAGAGTTCAATTTAATTAAAACCAAGGTCCATAAGGAACAAACAATATAAAATCTCTAAATTACAAGTAATACGCCAAACTAAAGATTAGTCAAGGCTGATCTGTGGAACAAGCAAAGTTCAACCACAAACCACCCGAAGATAATTTCGGCACTCAATATCACTATAGACATCCTAAAAATGATCAAGAAAGAGAAACACAAAGAAAGCTATACATGGAATTGAAAGCTATCAAAAACCTCACACCATCTGAAAAAACACTCAAAGGGCATTAATTCACAAACAAAGAGTACGCAAGTCCAAGAAAATAGTTTCTATAACAAATAAACACTAAGCTGCCCTGATTCAATCCCTCAGCATGTCCCCAGTGTCCAATACTAAATTGTTGTCTTCGAATATTCTACCTTTCTCTAGGCAAAAACAAAAAGTCGGGGGCGCAAACTTCAATACAGTGTACAACAAGAGGTGGCCTAATTGATAACTTATGGATCAGTCTTAAAATGTTTAAGAAACTACCTGGAAAAGCAGATATTACATACTTGAAATGACTAATCATACCAAAGTTTGATAAAGATCATAAAGTTCAATTGACGAAACACCATAAGACATACACTGTAAATCTCTATGGTTCTCAGTGAACACCTCACACTTGAAGGACTGCAAGATTGGCTATGTAAGTTGAAATCGGGTAGTGCTAAAGGGAAAGGTTGTTCCCCCATCAGAGAGAACACAAATAAATGAACAAAGAGATCATCCTTGCATCAAAACTAACAAGTAGAAGAGGATTATGGATTAGTTTTCCCCAGTAATTGGAGAAAAATCAAGGGTGTGAATATTCTATCAAAAAAGTAGTTCCATTCGATGAAGACATTATGAGGTCATGATATTGTCCAACTCTTGAGAAGAAAAAGGTATTATCCGTTAGAGATATTAATGACGAACTGCAACATAATAGCAATAACAAGGAAAATTTGGCCATAGGATAGTTGAGATCGTACAAGTATAGAGCATTTATTAAGATAGAACAAGAATAAAAGCATAAACTTCACAAACCTGATAGCAAAAATCACTAGCTGTGTTTTACCCTGAAAACCTTTCAAGTGCCCGTGGACCCGCACATACATCCCATCCCTGCTTAAAGAAATGTAGATTTACAAAGGTAAAGAAAGAGAAAACACATCTTGGCTCCCAAATGGTTGATAGAGACGTGACTTACGATACTTCCTCTACTTCCTTGGTATCCACAGCATCATTCACCCTGCAAAAGGGTAAGAGATTAAACCTAGAGCCATCAAGGTAGACAACATCAACCTTCAAATACTGCATTGAGCTCCCTAATTTTGTTAAGTTGGGTCAAACTTGTTGCATTTCAATTAGGGAAACACAAGTTCACATTAGTTGCCAAAAGAGAAACACAGCCAAAATGTGAAAGTTAATTACAAGAAGTAAGTTTTAATTTAAGTGCTCTAGCAGCAATGGATCCCGTTAGGACGACCATTGTTTGCCCCCTAACAGCATGCAGATCATATACTTATTTTTATGTCTTTATATAACTGAGAAAATGTAATGTCAAGAAAAAAAAAAGCAAGAAAATTTACCATCTAGTGCATTCAATGCGACCAGTGCCATCATCAATTGTAAAAGCCACATCTGTCACTCTCTCGGATTTTTTAAATGCCAATCCGACCAATCTCACCTAAACCAAAAGTTGGGTAAAATTTCACAGACGAACCGAAAATATCTATCCTAGTGGAAGGAATAAATTTACAATATTTACACAACACTGGAAATGGCACCTTAGCACACAGCACCAATGAAAGAGTAGCTTAACCACTAGAACTACCTAGCGTTTGGACATAGATTTGATTGAAACTTTGAAAAAGAATTTTTTAAAGTTGTTAAAAAATAATTTTTGGAAGTAGAAATTGCATTTGAACGTTCATTTTATTTGAAAACAAATTGAAATTTTGTGAGTGGAAGAAAAATTTCACCCAAAACTACCCTAAACTAGATATTGGAAACTTGAAAAAAAAAAATCAAAACATTTAAAAAACTAATCATATTCCATGAACAAATAATGTTTATAAAAAAATGAAAAAAAGTTGCCAAAATATATGGCCAAAGAGGAGCTTAGAGTTTATTGGCAACCAAAATCTTGACCCAAAAAAAACAAATTAAGTCCAAAATTAAGTGAAATTTGTCACAATTGTAACAAAACAAACAAATAAAATTTTGACGAACAATTTCTTGAATGGTTACCCAAGTTATTGGAATATCCTACCAAAGTCACTTTTGTTTTATTTAGGACAAAAAAATCACCCAACAATTGCCCTTACTCAAAAAATAAAAAACACATTTAATATACCATGTCATATTAAAATTCTATTTTTTAATAATAAAACTCATTTAACACATGATCAAGTACACATCTAACCCACCCAACATGAAAAAGGATTTACTATCAATATATTAATGTAAAGAACTCTTTGATTTCAAACTACAGGCAAATCTAACACGATTAAGACTACTATTTCTTAACTTTTGGCCAATGGTCCTTGTTAAGTTAATTAATATATTAATGTTAAGTTTTGGGCAGTGGTCCATTTGGATACTAGGTACTCCTACAATAGACAGATGATATAGATAAAAATATAAAAATATATAATAAGAGACGAAAATAACATGCATCGGCATTCTTTTTGAATTTTTCAGAAAAATTGCATCTTATTTTGAATAGTCTTGTTAGCCAAAAAATCTAAGAAAGTACTCCAAAAAAAGGCATTCCACAGAACTTTTCTTCTGTGAAGTTTGTACTGAAATTTATTTGAATATAAATTAAAACAACAAAGTATTTGGCGGAAACATATATAAGAAAATATACAGAAAACACATGAAAGTATTTCATCTTCTATACTTAAAAGACAAAAACTAAAAGACCTTTGGATTTTACCTCGTGGTAGTCTCTTTGGTCGACATCAAAGCTATGTAGCGGTTGGAGGACATTTCCCTCTACAAATTTATTAAATTACTCCTTGAAGAACTGGAGGAATGCATTGTTTACTTTGAAAAGTTCATATTTGGATTGTAGATCCCTAGAATTTTATGTTTTATCTAGTCTAGTTTTACAAAGGAATATGTGGAAATATGAATAGGCTAGGAACTTATAAGATAGACCAATTTTTTTGTCGGGTGAGTTAGTTGTGTACTTGGGTCATGTGTTAAATGAGTTTTGTTATTAAAAATGAATTTTAATATGACATGGTATATTAAATATGTACTTTTTATTTTTTGAGTCAAAAGGGCAATTGTTGAGTGATTTTCTTGTCCTCAATAAAACAAAAGTGACTTTGCTAGGATATCCCCGTAACTTGGGTGACCATCCAAGGAATTGACTAAACTATGACCCACAAAAACTACAAACCAAAAATTAAGTGGAAATTTCCACAGGTATACCGTATACCCGAATTCAGTGGAAGGTACTGAATAACAATATTGACCCTCAAAAATTCTAAACAGAAGAATCAAGTAATCCAAAATATTACCTCCTCCCATTTCATATGACACTATTAATATGAACAGTCAAAGTGGTTTTTTCTTGAATCCTTGTAATCACAAACAATTGTGATTTGAAAATACTTTTAATTTCGTTTCCAGTTATGTGAATTCCCTTTTTTCTAGTAAAGAAGTTGTGACATGGATACACCAATTAAGAACAAAATTTAAATGTTTTAACCCTTGTGCTCCGAATTCCATAATTCCTTTTAGAACCGACCGAGTACCGAAAAAATGAACAAATTCTTGACTTCAAAAGAAGAAGAAAAAATAAGAAAAACAACACTTACATTATTGACATCGACACCATCAATAACAAAGTTAGATTTCTCATCACTTGATTGTATTGCTTGGCTTATCTGTTTCACTGTTAGCGGAAGCAGAGGTGGGTTATCACGACTCTGTCCAAAAAAAAAAAGCCCAAACAGAATCTTGTCACATGCGAGAAAAATACATCAGAAAAGGAAAAGGTTTATAGCAGAGATTCATTACCTTAGCGGAAGTGCGTGAAGGATCGGAGCCTTGAGTTGATTGAGAAGGCATAAAACCTCCGCCAGAAAATGAGTCCAATTGACTGCCTCCAAACATTTTTTTTGATTTATTTACTTTGCTCTCTCAAAAGGTCAAATAGATGTTGTGTGCTGTTGACAGAGGAATAAATTTTATATTGTAACCATATAAACCGAAGGGAAAGTGCAGAAATGCCCTATTTTTGTGCCGCCATTTAACATGTATTCTGTTTTTATAAATTATTTAAGCGGTGCCCACTAAATAGTAAATTAATAATATTCAAACAAATAAACCCTAACGAACATAATAAAAGTTGCGTCCAATATAGATTGTGTGAATTGCTACCATAATTTCTAGTAAACAAATGCAGTAGCTGTCACACCTCCTTTTTCCCAAGGGAATAGGGAATTTTTCAATTCAAATGACATTAATCGAAATGGGATTATTTATTTAATTTTAGAGTTGTCATTTGGGATAATTATGGTGTCCAAGTCACCGGTTTATTTTAAATCCCAAATAGAGAAAATTTGTCTCTGTTCTAAAGTTTGTGAAACCATAAGACCGGGTAAGGAATTCTGTTAACCCGGGAGAAGGTGTTAGGCATTCCCGGATTCCGTGGTTTTAGCACGGTCACTTTTAATCATACCTGACTTAATTAAATTGTTTAATTAAGTGTTTTAGAACCTATGTGCATTTTACCTAGATTACTTGATTATGGCATTATGAAATTATCTTGAAATGAGTCACGCGTACGTGTACTCATTTTGTTTGGTGTGTCAAGTCATGTAGTGTACGTGTACAAAACTAATAACACATTATTATTAATTAAGAATGTTTGGCCAAAGTAGCACGAACGAGTACTTTGCTTTTAATTTGGAAATTCATAACTATGCCACGTGAACGTGTACATAGTCACGATAATTGATAGGTCTAGCCTAAAGCATGCTAGGGCATTCGTGGTTGTTCATTTCCATAATCCAACTTCAATTAAACAAATAGCATTATTAAGTGTTAATCCTAATCATTGAAATGAAGTTCTGCCACTCAAACTCAAATAAAAAAAATGTAAAGAAATTCTGTGAGGGCACGCCCAGCACCACAACTTTTGAAGAGATTCAACTTAAATATTCAGATTTAAACACTTAACAAAGCAATTAAATGAAGAAGATCTAGTAGTCAGTCACAATAAATACACCAAAATTAGACATGGATTCAGTAAACTATTTAGGCCTTCATTCATACATAGTTGAGAATTACAGAGGAAATAATTAACATACCTAACAGCAGGAACAAAAGGCAGCAGACTAAGACCAATAAAGGTTAAAGCTCCTAAGCACAGCTACAGCAGGATGAAAATAACCGAAATACAGCAGCTCTTCAACTCGGACCAGCTTTCGAAGTCTCAGAGAATATGTACCAGTTGAAAGAAATTAAAAATCAGCTTTGAACCCTTTCTTTCTGATTTAGCGTTCTTCTATTGAGAGGAGTTAGGGGAGTCGGCGGCTAATGGCTTGTTCTCTCTTGGGTTTGGACAAGACAGCAGTAGAGGGAAAGGGGAGAGAGGGGGGGGAACAGGGGAACGAGTAGCAGTCGCCGGTGGCTGCTGACTCGCCGGATTCCGGCGCTTGGCAAAGAGAAAGGTGATTTGAGAGCGAGAGAGAGGAGGGGTGCGGCTGCTGGTTTCCAATATGGGGGAGGTTTCTGTTATGTTCTTCGTCCCAGGTGAGTGAATTAGGGTGTCCTTATAAAATGGGGAGTAGGCCTGGGCTTTGCATAAGGTTGGGCAGAATTAAAGGTGTCTGGGCCGCTGCCAAATTAGCCCAGTCCAAGTTCAACACAAGACAAGCCCTTTTTCTTTTCTTTCTTTTTCTTGATTTTTCTTTGATTTTAAATTCTAATCAAATTAACTAAAAACCTAAATTAATTCGTAAATCAAAACTAATTTGCAACACCCTAATTATCTATTTCTAACATTTAAATAATTAATTAACTTAATACTAATTAATTTAAAACTAAAAGCTAAAATAAAAACATGACCATCGTATTTTTTGTGATTTTTAATATATAATGCGCCTAATAAACGTAATTACAACAACAACAACCCAGTAGAATCTCACTAATGGGGTCTGGGGAGGGTAGTGTATACGCAGACCTAACCCCTACCCCAAAGGAGTAGAGCGATTGTTTCCGAAAGACCATCGGTTCAAGAAAACAAAAAGACAAAACGACAAGAGGAGACAACATTAGTATCACCACAACAATCATAGAAAAAATAGGAACACCATGAAATGCAGAAGAAAGATGCAAAGCAAAAAACGATAGCTAGTAAATAGGACATGCACTGAAAAGCGAAATAGTAAAACACAACATTGTCACTAGCTACCCTAGACAAAAACCCTGCGTGGCCAGTCCCACAATGGTACGAAGTAAGTCAAGACTCAACTACATCCTAACCTACAACTCTAATACTCGACCTCCACATCTTCCTATCAAGTGTCATGTCCTTGGAAATCTAGAGCCTCGCCATATCCTTTCTGATCACCTCTTCCCAATACTTCTTAGGCCGCCCTCTACCTCTTCTCGTGCCCTCCACAACCAGCCACTCACACCTCCATACCGGAGCATCTGGGCTTCTCCTTTGAACATGCCCGAACCATCTAAGCCTCGCTTCCCGCATCTTGTCATCAATGGGAGCCACGTGCACCTTCTCCCGAATAACATCATTCCTAATCTTATCTATCCTAGTATGCCCGCACATCCACCTTAACATCCTCATTTCTGCTACTTTCATTTTCTGGATATGTGAGTTCTTAACGGGCCAACACTCATNGCCCACTTCCCCTGGCTCAGCGCTGAATTTACACTCCAGGTATTCCGTCTTCGTCCTGCTCAACCCTCAGACTCAAGAGCCTGTCTCCAAACCTCTAGCCTCTCGTTAACACCGGCTCGCGACTCATCAATCAGAACTATGTCATCGGCAAATAGCATGCACCATGGCACCTCTCCTTGAATATGGTGTGTTAACGCGTCGATCACGAGGGCGAATAAGAATGGTCTGAGCGCAGAACCTTGGTGTAACCCCATTACAACCGGAAACTGCTCAGAGTCGCCTCCTACTGTCCTAACCCGAGTCTTAGCCCCATCATATATGTCCTTAATCACCATAATATAGGGAACCGATACACATTTTGCCTCCAGGCATCTCCAGAGAACTTCTGTAGGAATCTTGTCATACGCTTTCTCTAGGTCAATAAAGACCATGTGCAGATCCTTCTTCATCTCTCTGTACAGTTCCACCAACCTCCTAACAAGGTGTATAGCTTTTGTAGTCGAACGACCAGGCATGAACCTGAACTGGTTGTCGGATACAGACACTGTCATCCTTACCCTCACTTCAACCACCCTCTCCCACACTTTCATGGTATGACTCAGTAATTTGATACCCATATAATTGTTACAACTCTAGATATCACCTTTGTTCTTATACAATGGGACCACCGTACTCCACCTCCACTCATCCGACATCCTCTTCGCCTTAAAAATAACATTAAATAACCTAGCCAACTACTCCAAACCTGCTCTCCACACACACTTCCAAAATTCCACCGGAATCTCATCTGGACCGGTTGCTCTGCCCTACTCATCTTACGCATAACTCCCACGACCTCATCAACCTCGATACGCCTGCAGTACCCAAAGTCACGATGACTCTCGGAATGCTCCAATTAGCCTAGCACAATATCCTGATCCCCTTCTTCATTCAGAAGTTTATGAAAGTAAGTCTGCCATCTCCTCTTAATCTGGGCATCTTCCATTAATACTCTACTATCTTCGTCCTTGATGCATCTCACTTGGTCCAAATCCCGAGCCTTCCTCTCTCAACTTGGCCAACCGGAATAACTTCTTCTCGCCGCCTTTTTTCCCCAGTTCCTCGTACATACGACCATATGCAGCAGTCTTAGCCTTTGTGACTGCCAACTTAGCCTCCTTCCTAGCTGTCTTATACCTCTCCATGCATGCTCGCCTCTCCTCCTCATCTATGCTCTCCACTAACTTCAGGTACGCCACTTTCTTAGATTCCACTTTACCTTGAACCACTTCATTCCACCACTAGTCTCCTTTATGCCCACCAAAGACGCCCGTCGAGACTCCTAACACCTCTCTCGCAACCTCCCTAATACAGTCTGTTGTCGCTGACCACATAGTGATTGCGTCACTGCTGCTCCTCCAAGCTCCTATAGCCGACAACCGCCCTTCCAACTCTTGGACTTTTTCCTTAGCTAAGGCTCCCCACCTGATTCTCGGACTTCCTCGAGTAGACCTTTTCCTCCTCTTTAACATAATACCAACGTCCATCACTAAGAGCCTATGTTGCGTCGCGAGTATCTCACCCGGAATCACCTTGCAATCCTTGCACATTCCTCTGTCACCTCTCTTGAGGATAAGATAGTCAATCTGAGTCTTCGCCACCGTATTTTGAAAAGTAACCAAATGGCTCTCCCTCTTTGGAAAGCTAGAGTTCACAATCACCAACCCAAAAGCCTTAGCGAAGTCCAACAACGATGTACCTCCTCCGTTCCTCTCCCCAAAACCGAAGCCTCTATGCACCTCGCCATAACCACCTGCAGTCGACCCAATATGCCCATTGAAATCCCCTCCTATGAATAGCTTCTCAGTAGGCGGAACCTGACGTACAATCTCATCTAACCCCTCCCAGAAGCGTCGTTTATCCTCCTCATTTAGGCCCACATGCGGCGCATGGGCGCTAACGACATTTAGGGTGCACTCTCCAACCACCAACTTAATAATCATCAATCTATTATTCACTCGTCTAACCTCGACCACAGACTCTCTGAGTTCCCTATCCACTAAGATGCCCACTCCATTCTTACCTTTCTGGACTTCTGAGTACCAAAGTTTATACCCGTCCGCGTCCTTCGCCCTCGACCCTACCCACCTAGTCTCTTGGACACACGCTATATTGACTTTCCTCTTCTGGAGGATCTTCGCCAACTCTATAGACTTATCCGTCAATGTACTTACGTTCCATGACCCAATTCTCAACCTACAAACACCCTTGTTCCCTTTACCTCCCTTGCCTCC